GCTCATGGGCCTCCTAAACCAAGGACCTTGACAGCAGTGGCTGCCGATGGGCAGGGACCATGCAGGAGCCAGAAGGGCTCCTCCTTGTGGCCTCCTTTGCTTCTCCCACACACCTAGTTCTACCTGTCAAGAACAAGAGGGGCAGGGGAGATGGCTCAGTAGAATAAGCACTTGCCTGGCAAGCGCAAGGGCCTGAGTTCAATCCCCGGTTCTGCAAAAAAAAAAAGGTTTCATCACTCTCCTTAAGACACCACAGGATCAAAAGGGTGGGTAAAGAGCTGAGAGCTCCAAGGGCCCTGCGGACCCCAACCAGGCTGGGTCCTAGCCAAGCAGCTGCCCCTGGTGTCCCCACCAAGGGGCTCTCCTCTGCGGGCTGAGCCAAGCTGTGGGCCGTGGCCTAGGGGCCTGATGCCCCAGTCAGGAGAAAACACAGGCGAGAAGGGCTGACCCACCCAAAGGAGGGCCACATTTCACCCACACACAGGTACCACAAGGTAACCACGTGGCCAGACAGGGATTATGGGCAACAGAATAGTACAAATGTCAAATACCACCACCTCTAGCACCATGTCTGATCCCATCCCACTCCAACCTGAGCCTCCAGCTGCCTTGCTGAGAATATGAGGGCATCTTCACCCGCTTCATCATCAAAGTTCCCCTCTAGCCCAGGCCACCGCCTGCCCTACAGAACTTGGAACCCCTGTACCCAAAGCCCAGAGCATCATGTCAGAAGGCTTCCAGAGGTGGAGGAAGTACATGTGGGGAGGATGTTACCAATTTACTTCCTTTCCTAGGCACCCCAGTCTGACTGATGACTCATTTGCTTGGTCTCCCCACATCCTCGCACAGCTCTGTGACTTGGGGTCAGAGTCTTTCATCTCCCTCCTCTCCCCCATCCCCACTCCCATTTTTCCTGAAGGGTCTTCCTTTCTGGTTGGCAGGGGGCATGCCCTCAAGAGACTTCCTAAATAAAGCAACACAGCAGGAAAATCTCTGCAAAGCCCAATGGCTGGGGCCTGGATGAAAGATGGCGCCTTCCTGATGCTGGTTCCTCCGTGGGAACTGGCAACCACCTCTCTCCTGAACCCGGCCTTCTGTGATGCCCGCTGGCTTCAGAGGCGCTCGGATCCCCTCTAACCTTGGGCTGTTTTTTGCCAACATGACTCAGCATGACTGTCACCTGTGCACTGCTCTGGGCACTCGGCGGACCCTCCAAGCTGCCCTATATTCCAGAAAAACCTTCCCCTTTTACACTGAAAAATCTCTTCCTTATAATTTTTTTTTAATCTTTTGCTTTCCAGACACTTTTAATCTCAGCTCCTTATTCTGTGACATTTATGGAGCCCAGCTTTGCTAAGGGATGCAGCATCTCTGCACATCTTCCTGAGATGTCAATTATAGATCAGAGGAGTTTTTTTTTTTTTTTAAATGCCCTGGTCTCTGAATTGCCTCTTCTACAAACACAAGATGCTTGTTGCTATGTGGCTTGTTGTGGCAATGGGTGGCCTCATGTGGCATTTGTGGAGCTTCTGGGGTAGCTGCTTTCTAGAGAGGCTTCCTCTGGCTCCCTCCTGCACAGGCAGGGACTGACTGTGCAGGACCCAAGTTTCCCTCTTTGTCACCCATCGTGAGCTACCAGGCTTCCTAGGACTTCTTGGTTCACCTTCAGGGTTAGGGGCAGCTTCTCAGAGGCTGAATGGGTGTTTCTCTGTGCTGTCTGAAGGTGACTTCAGGAGAAAACCACCATCTGAGTCTCCTCGAACTGTACTTTGTCAGGAGCAAGTTTGAACTTACCGCAGGTGAGGTCCAGCCTGGTTGATCTGAGGCAAAACCTGGTAGGAGAGAGGACAACTTGGAGGTACCTGCCCTGTGTCCAAGAAGCCCTCATCCAAGTACCACCACTTGTCACGAGACCTCATGACCACCTACTTGTCAATAAAGCAGGCAAATACACATGAGTGAAACAAATCAGAGAGCCAAAAATACTTGCTCAATGCTGACAAGGCTAATGAGGTCAATCAATGTGAAAGAACAATCTTTTTAAATGGGGCAGGGACAGCTGGATATCCATATGGGAAAGAATAAAAGTGGACCCTCATCTCGTACTATATACCAAAATTAAAACTGGATCAAAGATACAAAGCAAAAAACACAAGACAAACTATAGAATTCAGAAGGAAAACATGGTATTAGATTTTGGATGTAACATGAAAAGTAGGTTTTTAAAAAATACACAAAACAGATGCTATAAAAATCTAGAGGGCTGGCCAGATAGCTCAGTAGACTAAAGCACCTGCTTAGGCAAAGCGTAGCAGCCAGGATTTGATCCCTGGCATGCTGGGAAGGGCCCTGCCCCCTGGATGCGTTGAGACGGTGACTGAGATGGTATGGTGACACGTGTCTGTAATCCCAGCATTTGGGAGGCTGAAAACAGAAGGATGGCTACAAGTCTTATCTATGTAGTGAGACCCTGTAGATCCTGTACTAAATATATTAAAAATAAATAAATCTGGGGAGGGCTGCGGATATAGCGCAGCAGCATTAAGTGTCTGCCTGGTAAGTACAAGATCCTGAGTTTGAGCCCAGGCACCAAAAAAAAAGAAAAAGATCCGGAACTTTTTTGTATCAAAAGACACACTCCACAGCAATTCATAAATTGGCATGGGTGGCACAAACCTGTAATCCAAGCACTCTGGGAAGTTGAGACAGGAAAATTGCAAATTCAAGCCCAGCCTGCACAACTTGGTGATGGTGAGGCCCTACCTTAAATAAAGGATGTAGCTCAGTGTAAAGAACAGCTGTGGGTTCAATCCTCAGGACAGAAGGTAGGGGCAGGTTCCCCTCCACAGAAAGGGAGAAAACATTGCAAATGTGTCTGACCTGGATTAACATCCAGAATGCACATAGATCCTGAAATTCAATATCAAAGAGACCTTTATATCAATATTTAAAAATGGGTGAAGAGCTTGACCAGCCATTTCTCCAAAGATACATAAAATAAATGCTCAGTTAACAGGAAAAAAGTGCTCAAAGTCACCAGTCATTAGGGATACAATATCACCACACACCCAGCAGAATGGTTACTGACAGAGGGAGAGGGAGGAAAGGAAACCTGTTTGGAGGGACAAGGACACTGGAACCCCTGCCACATGGCCATACACGCACACAGGCACAATCTGCACTTAGTGCTGAGAAGCCCTGGAGCCCCAGGCTTGGGAGCCCCCCCGACTCTGCACGTGGCTCCAAAGCCCCGGGTTAAGGAGCCAGAAAGACTCCAGTGCCTGTGTCCTGGGAACTAAGCGCACACCAAGGAAAGTGGCTGCCACACCTGCTTGCCCACCACCCCAAGGGGTGCCTGTGCCTCACCGTCTCCCCTCCCTGCACCTGGCACACATCCTCACCACAGTGGCGGCCAAGGAAGGACAGCCTGAACAGTTCCGTGTAGGACCCTCTTGAGGTGGAATCTGGGTAAGAACCTAGTCTCAAGACGCATCCCCATTTCTGCACTAAGATGTGCCAACCTCCAGGAGTACTTGCCACATGGCAAGAGGGAGGAAAACTCCGAGTGAGGACTGAAAAAGGGTCCCAGGTGGCCTGGCCTCCCTGAAGTCACTCCCTCAATTGTGTGTTCACACTATTACCTGCTCTCTATTTACTCCAACCTAATAATGAAGCAAGAGCCACACAGGACACATGTATCCCCGCAACTTCTAACAGCCCTCAGCCTTCTGGTTCCTGGAGCAGTTGGCATGTCCACACTGCCCCCGTGTGGCCGAGGTTGTGGCCAACAGCCACCAGGAAGGCCCCAGTGACCTCCTGTGCCTGAAGATGGGATTTGTGCTGTGCAGCTGGGTAGGCCCTGCTTCCTTCAGGTGGGCACCTCCACTCCTGGCAAGCGCCATCTTCATAGGCCTCAAAGCAGTGATGTCCCTACCCCACAGATGGAGTGTGAGCCCAGTACACTCAGCCTCCCACGTCAAAAGTCAGACTCCTGAAAGCAGCTCAGCTCAGGTCCCGAGTCCAGGCCCAGGTGGTCCAAGCATCGGACACTGGCAGGTCCTGTACACGGTGTGTGGCACAGATACTAAGGAGCTCAGGTGAGTGACACAGATTCCTTGGGGCACGTGGCAGATACAGGTTAAGTGGTAGAAGTGCTTCACCTTCAGGTGAGCGGCATAGATAACCTCAGGCATGTGGCAGACAGGTGTACAACAGAGATGCTCCATTCTCAGGTGTGTGCATAGGCATCCTCAGGTATGTTGGGTAGGCACACATGACAGAGACGCTTCACCTCAGGTGTGTGGCACAGGCCCCCTCAGCAGTGAGGTAAAGACAGACACAAGTACTGGCACAGCATGTGACAGAGGTGCTCCATTCTCAGACTGGGGTATACGCGCTCCAGTGTGTGGTACAGGTGCACTCAGGTGCACGGCTCAGGTATGTACAGGCACAGGTAACAGCAGAGACACAGAAGAGACTGGGCTTCAGGCCTGAGGCTGGAGGAAGAAAAGCAATTCCGTGGGCTCCCTGGCAGCCTCGAGGTGGGTGGGGGTCAGGCAGGCAGGCGAGGGGTCCAGTGCAGGTACTGGCGAGACCAGGGAGGCATCATAAAGCACTGACCTCACGAGGCCAGGGCCGTCTGCTGCTGTGTGTCTAGAAGGAATCCAGCAGGGACATGGGGTCCTCAGGGAGTCCCAGGCACCCCCATGGGCCCCTTGGTTAGTGACACTGCAACGCTGCAACACCACCCAGGCACCTCAGCACCACCCCGTATGATCCTGCCAACCACAACGAAACCCACTTTCTGCTGTTTCCCACCAGAACCCCAATGTCTTCCCGCACCTCTCCCAGAACCTAGCCCCACCTCCTTCACCAGTCCCTTGCTGGCATGGGGTTTCCACATGTGGCCCTTGCCTCTTGTCCCCTGGCAGTCCTGCCTTTGGGGGCACGTGCCTCTGGCGGGTGCAGGGACGCGGTGAGAAGCGGAAGGCAGGCACAAATCTGTACATTGTTTTATTGCTCATGTTACATATTCCAGGGAACACAATAATCTTTTTTTAAAAAAAGTTAAGGCACATGAAAAGCCTCTGTGCAAGTTCTGTATTACTTTTAAGTCCTATTGGCTAATACAAGCGTTTCCACTGCAGAACTGAAGATGTCTACAACAGCACGGGGCGCATTTTCCCAAGCAGACATGTGAGCCTTGACTGCGTCTCGCCCATGGCGCAACGAGCCACAGCCCAAGGCTGTTACGACAGCAATGCAGCCATGACAACGCAAGCGCACTCAGCAGCTACTCACGTATGTACAGCTGGTCCCCACGTTAGCAATTACAGAGCCTGAGGAGAAACAGCATCTAACCGTCTGCGCCCCACTTCGGGACAGGGAAGGGATTTGGCATTTTCTGTTGTCTTATACATGACGCTGCTGTTCATGAGGCCTGCGTTATACAATACTGAAGACCATGGAGAGATACTGCTCATAGGACACCTGGATCCAGCCGTCCTGATCCGTGTCGTAGCGTCTGAATATGTCCGTCAGCCTCTGGGGGAAGAACAGACATGCATGCATGCATTCATTCATTCATTCATTCATTCATTTATTTAAGATAGGATCTCACTATGTAGTTCAGGCTGGCTTTGACCTAAGTAGCCCAGACTGGCTTCAAACTCATAGTCTTCCTGCCTCAGCCTCCTGTGTGCTGGGATTACAGGCCAGTGCTTCCACACCCAGCTAGAACAGGCATTTGGACCTTCGTGCTCCAAAGGAAGATAAGTTCAGCAGTACACATTTCATTTCTCGGCTAACGCTGGTGATAGGTACCTGAATGAATACCCAGCAGGTGGAGCCCTCTGTCCACCAGAACAGGATGGGTACAGATCAGCTCAGGACTACTCTCCTGCACGGGTGCCAACCCCAGCAGGCAAGGGTCAAGCTGCACTCCACCTCCTGTTCATCCTGTTCCTCCCTTCACAGCCTGAGGATACACTAAGGCCAGAAGCAGAGTTGACACCAAACAACAGATATAGTTAAGGTAAGTGCCACTTACAGATGACACTCTGAGGAGTCTAATAAGTAAAAACAGGATGAAGAATTCCACATGACACAGAAGAAACAATCCCCAGGAGGGTTTGCACCCCCAACCTCCACATGGAACATTTCTGTCTGACAAATGCCAGCATAGAGGGTCAAAAGCCATGAAGCTTCTTTTTGGCCAATAGTGACCCACACAAAGGAGTGGCTTCTTCAGTCTGCACCTTAAATGTCCCCCAGGCCTGTGTGTTGAAGGCCAGGATGATATGGGAGGTGGTAGAACTTTCAGGGGGTAGAGCCCAGTGGCAGCAAGCAGGGTCACAGAGGATACAGGGATCTGCCACCTCTAGGTGACCAGGCCTTCTCAGCCACACTCTTGCCACGATGCCTGTCATAGGCCCAAAGCAACAGGCCAAACTGTTGATACTTTTAAGCCACAGACCAAGGCCTCCAAAATTATGAGTGAAAAGCCGTTCCTCTTAATAAGCTAGTTTATCTCACTTTTCATAGCAACAGAAAGCTGACCAACACAGTAGCTACACCATTTAGCCAAGGCGTGCCACTCTGCCCTGCAGGTGTAAGCATGCCCCACCAGGTTCACACAGTTAACAACACCCTCCAGCCCCTGTAAGGCATCCCTCAGAATGTGTCCCCTCTCTGTGGTACATGAATGTATGAAAGAACATCAGTGATAGGTAACTCTAGCTTAACGATTAGGGGTGGGGCTGGGGCTGCCGCTCAGTGGTGAATGCTCGCCTAGAGTATGCGAGGCTATGGGTTCCATCCCCAGGAGGAAGACTACATTTTCTTCATGTTTTACTTTTCTGCCTAAGATTCCTGTAAGTTTTCATGTCATCTTGCAACAAATAACTTTGAAAAAGCCTTTTCCTTTTTGGAAAAAAGCAAACAAAAAATATTTTTCAGTTGTCACGCCCCCACCCTGCAAGACACCAGCCCAGAAGACTAGAGAGCTCCTCGCAGAACCTGACTGGGAGAATGGGTCTGCTCAAAGTCACGCGAGTTAGTGAGAAAGTTTACTTATGGGCTACATGAACTCTAACACTCCGCGCAGCAGGTCAGGCAGAGTCCACAATGAGATGTCACACTGTACCTCTTTCTAAAGTGTTCAGAAAAGCCCAACTGCAGAGAACTCTGGGGAGCTCTCCCTACTTCAGAGGTGTGAAGTCTGAATGCTACAGACTTGTCTCCGCAATCAGCGAGGCACAAAGGCTGCTGTGTTCAGACTCATTCTCATCTACTTACTAGCTTATCCCGAGAGTGGCTCAAGCAAGTGTCATTTCAACCAGTGGATTCTTGTTTGCGCAATCTGTCTTAAACTGACTATTTTTTATCTGCTATATTATATCCAGCTTTGATGCTTGGTTCTAGTAAAACTCAGTGATAAATTCTGTCTATTTTCTTTGAGTAATTCATGTTTATTTGTGAAAAATAACCTAAAATTCTATACTACAATCTATAAAACTCTTACTGTAAATACACTAGATAAAATTTTTATATACCTCCAGATTTCAGTGATATTTTTAAGACACAAAATGGACACATCTGGGACACTGAGCCTGAATAGGACAGACGTGCCAAAGATCCGCAAAAGATAAAACTGAAAGGCAGAGAAATGGCAGCGCGTCACAGAGGAAGAGCCTGTGTCATGAAACAGACGAAAGGATGTCTCCTTATTGTCAACTATTCATAATACAGAAATGATAGAACTTGAAAGAAGAAATGAAACTAAAAAAATTCCAATAATGGTAGTGATTTTAATTTTATGAATAGTGTTAAGAGTTGACCAGGCATCTAACAAGCTGACCTGTAATCAAAAAGCAAAGAAAAAAAAATTATAAAATATTTGTGCACCTTCTGAACCGAACAGTACAGAACTCATTTGTCACTTACTCAAAATTAAGGGGTTCAGAAAGACACATACAACTTAGATTAGGTCTAACAGACCAAATAATTTAAAAATACAGGATAGCAAACACCAACCAGGGTGTCCATCATCAATGTCCTCACCATCACGTTTAGTGGGTAGATGTTTTATTGAAATCATACCACCCACAGGCAAAAAGACCAGCATGACAGTGTAAAGTGTGTTGTTCAAAGACAATAATGCAAAAAGAATTTGAAGAGACAGATTATATGAATGTATTAAGCTATAACATATGTAGAAAAATTACTGAATTAGTTTGATAAAAGTGTCATTTTTTATATTTCTTGCTATCTTATAAAAATTAACAAAAAATACACAATTTTTGGTCATCTTATATCTGAATAACTGAACTGGCAAGTAATCAAGAAAACCATGGAGGGGCCGGGGAGATGGCTCAGTGGAATAAGTGCTTCCCTGGCAAGTGCAAGGGTCTGAGTTCAATCCCCGGTTCCGCAAAAAAAAGAAAGAAAGAAAACCATGTACAGTACTGTACAGTACTTAGCAGCCAAAATCAGAGGAAGTACACTTTACTGATCTGTCATTTAACTGGAAAACAATCTCAGACTATTTTACAAAACCCTACACTAGGGGTCAGGGAGAGAGCTCAGTAGAATAAGCGCTTGCCTGGCAAGCTCAAGGGCCTGAGTTCAATCCCTTGTTCGGCCAAGAAAAAAAAAAAAAAAGAAAAACCTACACTACCTCTAAAAATCTAATACTGTCCAAATCTCTCAAAGATTCCGAAGACAATGTGAACTCAGTCTGAGTCTAAACTACATACAAAGATTTACATTTCAGAGACAGGTCCTACTGAAGCCTTTGTGGAGAATGCTTCAACATCGGCCTCCCATAAAACAGTCTGCTTCAGGAGACGGGCTGGCATGCAGTTATGAGGAGGTGCACACATAACTGACCTGAGCACACACTGATAAATCTGAGCATTACCCTGCCTTCTGCTGCTAGTCTTTTAAGGGTTTCACTATGTAGTTCAGGCTGGCCTTGAACTCACTATGCAGCCGAGGCCAGCCTCAAACTCACGGAAATCATCCTGCCTCAGCCTCCAAAGTGCTAGGATTACAGGTGTGCACAACCACATCCAGCTCTTCTGCTGTTTTTTTTTTTTTTTAATTAAACAAAATTAATCATTTATTTATTTGGTACAGGGTCTCCCTACGTAGCTTAGACTCACTGTGATCCTCCTATCTCAGCCTCCCTAGCGCTGAGATTACTGGCGTGTGCCACCATGCCCAGTTTCAGTGGTCAGCTAAGCGCACCTGGGGTTCCGGGGCCTGCAGGGCATGCAGTACTGAGAACTGAATCCAGGTCTTCGCGCTTGCCAGGCAGGCACTTAGACCACCGAGCTGCTATTTTTGACTGAAATTTTTCACAGTAAAAATTTTATAACATATAGGGTTTGGGGCTGGAGAGATGGCTCAGTGGTCTAAAGCACCTACTTAGAACAAGCTTGGCAAAGCATCAGGGACCGCGGTTCGATCCCCCAGCACCACATG